TGATTAATTCTGATTTTTGAGCATGCTTACTGTGAATTGATGTTTACATTAGTCACTTGAATCCCAACATGTGTGGTTAAAAATGAGAATTGATTTACTGTAAAAAAATCTAATCCCTCCCAAACAAGACCTAAATATGTAGAAAAAAAGAATTTTCAAATAATGAACAGTGGCTTGACAAAGATGGGATTTGTAGTGTCCCACCACTTATTAACAATTTCTTTTCAAATGCACGCACACTATTAACAATTTCTTCTACTGTGTATAATTTTCTGTAATTGTATTTGTATGGATTGAACATGTAATAGAATGATAAATACAGTATAGTTCGTGAAGATTACAATTATTAACTACTAAAATTGATTAACCCCAACCTTTTTTTTTTTTTTTTTATAAAAAAGATCAGTTTTTTAGCGTGGTGGAGGATTAAAATCACATGAAGAAAAACTAAAGTAATTATGGGACAAATTAGAAAATTCAAATGTTTAAGGTGTCAAGACTTCCAATTTTTCACCATGTAGTCGGCTTTGGCAATATTTATACATGCCAGTAGTCGAATGTCCAAAATTAACTGACAACAGTTTTTGAGTATAGTAAAAAATACTTTTATAAATAAATTGTAGCGTCTCATTCGACGTGGCTTCAAACACTAGTCGCGTGACAGTCAGCTAACAAATCAATTTAGGTCCGCACTTCACATCACCATTCAACTTGGCCTAGCCAGGTCATCGAACACTGATAGTTTAAGAGATGTTGGCAATATGTAGAGGCTGACCCTCTACGGTTGAGGCGAGGTATCCACGACTTGCTGTAGTACAATATCAAAGTGACTATCCTTTAAGCATGAATAAGACATCTTTTTGCTTTGAGCCTTTCAAGAGATCTTTCGTAAAAGATCTTTTGCGATTGATTGATGTGATTTCTTAGCAATAGACGTCTCTCAAACAATTTGTTAATTTACTTTTTAAACGTCAGACCTAGACTAAATGATGAATACTTTTTAAAATCATTAAGCCATTGTTTGAGTCCTATTTTATCAAAAGTTCATTTTTTCAAACTCATTTTCAATTACACATTTTTCAATAAAATAATTATATATATAAATACACATTCTTTTTCTTATTTTTTTAATTATATATTCTCAAAAAACACTATTTCAAAATACATTTTCTCCCAAAATGGGGTTAAAACAAGGGCTAAATGTCCTCTAAATCTAGTACTGTAGAAGTGACACCTAGGAGAAGATGTCTAGACCGTCTAGATGAGATCACTTATCTTTCATCCAACGGTAACAACAAATTAACCTTTTTTTTTCAAATAATTGAATATAAGAATTACGTAATTAAGTCAAAAATTAATTTAAAAACTTACAATATCTTATTTTTGGATCTGCAGCAACTCCTTGACGATTATACTGTCAATGTTCTTGAAGACGTAATTTCGTACATTCCCAATCCTTCAAGCATATTAGAGCATCCAATATGTCATCTCTTTATTTTTGATCGTTCGTCTGACAAAACCCTATTGCTTAAACTAAATACATCATATGATGCTATCGTAGACACCAGAGATATAAGTAAATCACGTACAGTTTTTGATACAATTAGATACTGTCTTTCGTTATACATCCACCATGATACAAGAACAAATTCATCTAATACTTTTGATTGTAACACACTATGAACGTCCGCACATGTATACCTAGTTGACTTAAAGGGAATTTTAATATTTGTACCACAAACATCTATCACTCTAGATATGGATGAATTAGAACTAAATGAGAGAGTACTTGTATTTGTATTCAAAAAGTTCCATATATCATCATAACTCTTTGTAGTATTTCTTGAAATGGTATTTTGTGAACTAGAACTCCTCTAACCTCTTTTCTTTTTTAGCACAATAGTAATATATTTCACATAATGAAAAATTCTATATTTACATGTGATAATTCAACATTCATGAATTTGAAATCCCCTTTATAATAGGTTTTGTGCCAATTAAATTAACTTAAGGGTCCATCACTGAGGCTAAAATAAATAAAGAGAGCAACTCCTCTCAATATTTGCGAAATTTTAACTCCATAGAAAAGATTATACCAACAAAAATTGGCATAGTCCCATATTTATTAAACTTTTGTGCAATATAGTATGTAGCTTGCCTACAGCTACATGCAGGCTGCCTTGTTGGCTTCTACATGCAGGTAGCTCGAGGGGTGGACATAGGACTTAAAAGTTAGGGGGGCACAATTGAACTTACAAATAAATTGGGAGAAATTTTACAATCGAAATTTTACGTCCAAAAAAATCATACCCCATGTAATTTTGCATCCGAAAATTTACATGGGATATGACTTTTTCAAATGTAAAATTTCAAAAAAAAATTTATGTCATATTCCNCTTTTTCAGATGTGAAATTTCGAAAAAAATTTATGTCATATTCCAAAAAAATTTCCTAATAAAATGATTAAAATTACATGAGAAATTTGTATTGCAAAAATAATAAATGTTAATGAAATAATTGAATTTTTTAAAAAGAAAATGCGAGTTAAACATTTTTCTTTAAAACTCACTTTTAACGCATTTTTAACTATTTTCGATATCTGTTTAGATTATTTGATATGCCTATAATGTAGTTTTCGAAATAAGTTTTGAGATGACATAAGCAATTTATAGATTCGATTAGCGTACGATCGTCAAATTTTTTTTAAAGTTAGCATATTATCGAAATTTTTGAAATACTAATTTTGAACGGCTTACTTTGACAAGTTGTAGCTTTTGCTATAATTGATCTTTTCGTACGCCATTAACGACGTAGAAAACTAGACCGTGAACATTTTGAAATGGTATTATGAATGCAATATTTCACCCTTATTTGATGGAAAGTTAAGATTTTGTTAAAAGACGGGAGAGCGAGAGAAAAATTAAAATTTATTGTGATTTTGCCCCTCTATTTGATGGAGATTAAAATCAAATTTTTAGGAAATTTTGATAAAAGTTAAATAGTTATGGATTTCATGAAATATGGTATTAAAATTAATTGTTAAATTTGATTTAAATTTATATTTTAATCGATATTAAACATAATTTTATATATATAAAAAAAAAAATTCAAAAGTTGGGGGCACGTGCCCCCAGGACCCCCCGGGTCCGTCCATGGGCAACTCCATGTAGCTGCTTGCACACAAGCAAGAAGCTTTCCTGCTTGCACGCAAGCAGGCTTCTGCAAAAGACAGTTAATAGTAGTTGCCTGTATAATCATAGGCGCGAGACATTTTTAGCGCGTCACATGAGCTGACCTGATGTGGCTCATTGAGCCACAGGCGTAGGCTCGAATTGTTGCTCAAAAATGAGGCTTGGCTTGGAGGACACGAGTCACGAGTCGGGTCGGATTGACATCCCTAATTATTATCCACTCAAATCAAGATAAAATAAATAAATAAATAAGATTATTGAACATTCATGAACACTTGTTTCTGGTTGTCAAACGCTATATATCAATCCGTCTAGACACGCTACGTGGCCGAATAGATGACTCAGGGCTATCCTCCTAGTCGAATCTTCTGTTTGGTAATTTAGAGGGAAGTATATGGGTAAAATGATGGTCCCCACGTTACATTTGCAATATGTCAGGACTTTGAAGGATTTCTCGAATCAAGTTGGGCACGGTTTCAATTACAGGCTGTATCCAGCTGTATTCCAACCTACAAATACTTGAGTTATGTACTAATGTAGAGCCCAGCCCACCCTATTCACCCAAAATTCTGTCCCCATATTGTAAGTTGCTCTTCAACTTATTTGCTACTTTTGTCGCATAGTTTTGTTTCTATTTATCTGAAACGAATGGTAGCATTGTTTTGCAAGTACACCATAGTTAAACAAGTCTTAACAATCCCCTGTTTGGTTTGAATAGAAATTAAATTTTTAGTAAATTTTAATTAAAGTTAGTAAAACCCGTGATAAAAATTTGATAAAAGTTGTGTGTTCATGAAATATGTGATTGGAAATGAATTTGAAGAAATGAGGACCAAATGGAGGTTACATAGAAGATAAAAAGTAGAAAAACTAAAAATTGTATCTATTTTCACCTCATTCCCTGCTATGCTCCCTACACCCCCTCCGCCAATTCGAGCCTCTTGTGATTGTGAGTCACTACCTAACTCTAAATTGGTTTGTGCTGCTGCTCTCAGATCACATCTCATTAGTTTCTCTAAGTCCGCACTTATTTTTTTGTTTACTTCCTCTTTTACTTGTTATTTTAATTAAAAAAAAAAAAAACTTTCAATTTCATCGTCATTGTTTACATAAATCTAGTTTTTAATATTAAGGTCAACATTGATATTATTATAAATATAAATTTAGGTGACAATTAAATGACATTTGACTGATGCGTTAATGAAATTTATTGCCAATTAAATTGAAAACACAAATCACCCAAAATGTATATTAGACTGATGAGTTAATGGCACTTATCTGTCAATTAAATTGATGGTTAGGGTTACTCACAAGTTAATAGGTTTCAAAATATTACAAAATTTAAAAGTTGGAAACAACATTATAAGTTGAAGACCAAGTTTAGTACAAAATGAATAAGTTGATGACCAATGGTTCAATCTTCATTGAACAAAACCTTAAAACAATAGGGTCCCATTCACCAGAATCCAGATAATAATAAGATAAAGAGTTCTTTTTTACCTCAGCATTCAAAAAAATTTGCAGTGAGAGTGTTGTTAAGTGGGGCCAAGAAGAAGTGGTAGGGGGAGTACTGCGCACGCTGTTCGCTCGCATCCCTATGGGCTCTTCGTCCTCGTCCTCCTCTGCATTTCTTCTTCTTTACCCCGCCAGCGCATTTTAACTGCAGTCTCACTACCCTACGCCTTCCTTGATTAGACCGAGCAAAATCCTCTGAAAGAAAGTTTTGTTCCTGTTAACTTAAATACATTGTTTTCTCAACTGGGTTTTTAAGGTTTCTGTTTATATATTTCATTTTGGGGGAGAAAGGTAATGGATCCGTGTCCATTTGTACGGTTAACTGTAGGGAATTTGGCGTTGAAGTTTCCGGTGGCGTCGAAGTCGGCGGTGCACCCTTCGTCCTCACCGTGCCTTTGCAAAATTAAGCTTAAGAGTTTCTCGTTACAAACGGCGGTGGTGCCGTACATTTCGGAGAACACCCAGTTCCCTGATGGAAATCAACAAACACTCGCCGCCAGTTTCCACCTTAACAAGTCTGATCATGACCGGCTCACGGGGAAGTCGTCCCTGTTTGCTACCTCCAAGAAGCCTGAACTCAAAATCTCGATCTACACCAGCCGAGGGGGCACAACCTGTGGTGTGAACTCTGGTCGACTTCTGGGCAAAATCTCATTGCCGTTAGATCTTACTGAAACGGAGTCTCGGACCGTACTCTTCCACAACGGGTGGATTAATGTTGGAAAAAAGAAAAGTTCTTCAAGTGCTCAGTTTCATTTGAATGTGAAGTCGGAGCCAGATCCGAGGTTCGTGTTCCAGTTCGATAGGGAACCGGAATGCAGCCCGCAAGTTTTTCAAATTCAAGGAAGTATTCGCCAGCCTGTTTTTACCTGCAAATTCAGTTTTCGTTCCACTGGAGAGCGCAATCAAAGATGCAGGTACATATTTTTCTCTGTTTTTTCTTGAATTATTTGATTATATGTTGTTAATCCAATTCGCTGGTCAAATTTTGATTATGTTCTTGCTGGAATTTTACTGGAAATAGGTCTAATTAGCGTTAGAATGAATCCGTGATACTTTGCCCTTTGGATTGAAAACTGAAAGCTGAAAAAAGTAGCTTCTTGTATTCATATATGGAAACTGTTTTGGTCTCTCACTTAAAGTTAAAGCAAGATTATATACTTTATTACCAAATCTACTTTTTATTGATTACATTAAGGTTAGGTTCGCTATTGAAATAATAATTTCTTTGCAAGGGAATCTTGATTGTGAATGAAGAATTGGGTATTTATTATGTGTGGTTTATTAATTATGAAAATTGTTGTTATACAGATCATTACCGTCTGAGCAAGGTGGTGCGAGAGGTTGGTTAAGTTCATTTGGGAGTGAGAGAGAGAGGCCTGGAAAAGAAAGAAAAGGATGGTCCATCACAGTCCACGACCTCTCCGGTTCACCAGTTGCAACCGCATCCATGGTTACCCCATTTGTTGCCTCTCCTGGTTCAGACAGAGTGAGCCGGTCTAATCCTGGTTCGTGGCTCATTCTTCGTCCAGGCGACGGTACTTGGAAACCATGGGGCAGGCTGGAAGCTTGGCGTGAACGCGGCTCAACAGATGGAGTCGGCTATAGGTTTGAATTGATCCCCGACTCTGCCCCAGCCGGTGCTGGGATTATCTTGGCAGAGTCCACCCTCAGATGCAGCAAGGGTGGAAAATTTGTAATCGACTTGAATAACCGTAACAACAGTAATTTCAATGGGACTGCTCTGTCAAATGGGAGGTCGACACCAAGCAGCGCAACATATCCGGTATGCAGTCCTCAGGGCAGTGGAGATTATGGGTACGGACTCTGGCCCTACTGTATGTACAGAGGATTCGTGATGTCTGCAAGTGTCGAAGGCGAAGGAGCCACTGGAAAATGCAGTAGTAAACCCACGGTGGAGATAAGCGTGCAGCATGTAAACTGCACGGAGGATGCAGCTGCTTTCGTGGCGTTGTCGGCTGCCATTGATCTCAGCATGGATGCTTGCAGGCTTTTCTCCCACAAGCTCCGGAAAGAATTATGCCCTCCTCAGGATTTACTCACCTAATGTTTTTTACTGAGAGATTCGATTTTTTATTTTTTGTTTAATTTCGTTTGAGAGGTAAAAAAAGTTGTGGGTGACTATGGATTTCCATAGTTGGCACACATTTGGCGCTTAGCGGTTAGCTTGCTTTAGAGGTTTACTAACTCAGAATGGGGGACCTGTGTCTGTGTGTATAGGGGGAGAAGGGTGAAATGGGTGGTAACAGGGCACGCTCTGTTTTTTTCAATTATGCTATTTGTACAGCATGGAGGGTCTAGAAGAAGTGCCGAAGTTGAGTGATTGGATAAAAAGGTTGTCTGTGTTTTAAATTAATCAGTGATAAAACATCATGTGACATTTTGTAAATCTTGATGTGTAGAAGGTCCTTGTTTTTTTAGTAGGTGTATGGCTTCTATAACTTTTTTCTTTGTAGTGGAGACTCTTCATCCTGATTATTTTTGCAAGGCTGTAATTATGGAACTTTATCAGTTCACAATATGACCTATTTGTGTTATGTTGTATTGGGATGAAAGAGCAAAATTGGGTATTTTCACAATCTTTTTCGCATTTTCATTTACATTTTGATGGATCATAATTCAAATTTTGTTTAAATGGGAAGATTTCTAAAATGTTTGAATTAGTGCCAGTGTAATTGAGACTGGTTTGATTTTTCATTTTTTTCCAGTCACTTTCTTTAGTCCATGTTTGGCATCCATTCTCATCCTCATTTTTTCTCTTTCTTCATTTCAACCACACATTCTCCCAATAAAATAATATTATACAAAAATCTAAAACTTTTTCACCACACATTCTCCCATCAATCACTATTCCAAAAATTATATTCTCAAAAAAATGGGTGTCAAAAACCCTATTAGTTTCTTCTTTCACAAATACCGATTTGAGGAAAAGGAAATTGTTACCCGAACTTAAAAATGTAACTTAAAAGTCACTAAACTATATAGGGTGTTATCCATCCATCACTCAAATCGACACTGTTTGTTGAACCAAACAGATTTTTCCATTTGAATGATGGATGAGTAACAAAGTACATAGTTTAGTCGCCATTGTGATATATTTTTTAGTTTAGTTATGAATTAGTAATACTTAACGAAATTCAGTAACCATTAAAATATATTTCACGATGGAAACTGTAATGTGCCTTTTTTTTTTTTTTTTTATACTTTGAAAATTTAAATCACAATTTAGATGTATTTTACACCGTAATTGGATATGGTCTTAGAACAATAATGCTATAAGTTTATATTTTTTTGACAGAAAATTTTGATAGACAACACTTGGCGTGATGCCATTAGAAGATGAGGAAAAAAAAAAAGATCAATCATGTTCGACCACATTAGCGTTGATATCAATTCTGTTAAAATTTTCTTGTACTTGGAGCTTTATTAGTCTTAGTATCTAGCTAAAAGGATGTTTGATTTTCATTTTTCTCAAAATACATTTTTCTTTCTCATTTTTAACTACACATTCTTTAAAATAATATTACATGTAAATAAAAAATTTGTATATTTCCAATCACACATTTTCTGTACGTGGAGAACTTCTAGGATGGCCTACAGACTGAGTTCTCAGTACGTTCCATGCTGTAGACGGACAGGAAAGACCACCCTATCAACTCTTTCAATTTCATTTATCGGCATGGTAAGGCCATTTGGCTTATTTGTCCAGCATGGTTGACAACACAATTGTTGGTCTGGTTTGTCTTGATTGAATGGTTTACCATGTAATTTAATTTACTTTTGAGCATCAAATCCTTGTTATCGAACTACAATGACGAGACTAGATAAAATAATAAATAATTTTTCTTTCTTTTTTGATACGCCATGTCACACGAACCAAGAATAGGCTTAGAAGAAGGAATTTGTAAATATTAGATGAAGACACTTTGGAGTAGGGAAGATAGATACTCGAGTAGAATAGAATTTATTAAAATGGGATATTTGGGGTTTGGGTTGCACGTAGTGAGTGGTTTAATAATTCGATTTGTCTAATGTGCTAAATGTGGATGATAGCTGTAATGCTTTTGGAATGGCAAGTGGTGAGATAAGATTGCATTAGATGTACATAGCTTTATAGTGCTTGGAGCTTGATTTATTAATTAAATAATTGTGCTTAATCTATGTGCGTAGTTTGGCGAGATTTAGTGCGAAAATTCTGAGATATGCTCGCACGAGGTCGAGACCTGTCAATACAGTCGTCACCCGTGACAGTTTAATCTTGACAATGCTTTAAAATGAACCTAGAGTTATTGATTTTGTTTCAAAAAATATAAATTAAAGTTTGTATTTTATTTATTTATTTCCCTTTAACATTTTTGCTTAATGTTTGGAATTGTTATTTATTAATATGAGTATAAATTGCATTTATTTATTTTTTTCTTTTTTTAAAGCTATTTTCACACTTAATTTTTTTTTTATGCGTGTTGACCTAAAAAATCTACAACCAGCCCTTGTTAATATGTACGTTTCGTGCGGCACTAGGATGAATTGTTAGTGCCGAGATCATCAAGTCAAGGGAGAAAAGGATTGACGATCATTGACACTTCGACAGTCAAGTTAACTACTGGTACAAATTGTATATGGGGGAATTAAAAACGTATATTTATCCGTGTATCTATAGTTATAGGAAAAGAATACCTCTGAGGCAAGCCATTGAACATACAACCCTAATCCTTGAGTCATCTCTCGTTCGTCCGCATGAGTCCTTGTTTAGTAGGTTGCCTCATTTGAGTTTGTTTCCTTGCACAATCCCTTTTTCTTGCGGAATTGATCCGAAAAGATTCTCCTTGATCCAAGGAGATCAAGCATGGGATTCTAGAGACTTGATAAATAAGAGTGATAGCAATGCTTGCCTCGCCAAAGGCCTTCGATAATCACTAGTTCATTTGAAGAGTGATGTTGCAAGATGACCACATGGATACGCCATAGGTGAGGATGGAAGCAAATTAAAAGCTTCATGTCCTTCACCTAAGAAAATGGCCAACACAAATCCAACCACATGCTTTACAATAAAGGGCTTATGTGGCATTCGTTGCCATGCTGGCGCTTACAGAGAGCCCTTCGCTAGTTCAGGAGTGTAACGATAGTCTCATAGGTCCAAATCTATCATTTATGCTCAAGCGAAGGACTAGACTGTGTGGATAAGCCTTCAAATTTTTACTTTTTTTTTTTTGGTGCTCAAGTGCATGAAGCTTGCTGAAGATTTGACTTCAGGAGAGGCCATTGATCATTTCATTGTCATCTCATGTTGATGTCTCAGTTTTTGTAAGGGCATATTGTGGAGCACTTGTGAACTATAGCAATAGTCCCCCAAGTCCATGTCTATTTATTGATATTGGATGAAAGATTTTGAGATGAGGATGTGCTTAGATGCAAAGATAGGTGGTGTGAGGTAGTTCCCTAATGGCGAGGGAAAAAGTGTACAGTCTAAGGCACATATGAGTATCAGCATTTATTATTTTAAAATACGAGAAGTTGTAATCATATCCCATATGTCAAACCTATGAATGGTGTGAAGGCACGTATGTTGATGTCACTCGTTTTGACGTTGTAAATAATGTCCTTTTGAATTTAAGGGTTGGGGTTGCCTCGCCCTTTCTATAGTTGAGATGCATTCTTAAGATCCAATGGCTCAGATGCATGGGCTTCGCCTATAAAAGGAAGAACGATGCTATGAGTACAGGGAAATTTCACAGAATATACATAGAAATTTGAAATGGATGGATTGGATTCAAATATGGAGGAGGGAAAACACAGATACATGTACTGGATTTTTCCAATTAAAAATTTGTACAAAATCTGGTGTTGCATTTTTTCTATCGCAAGTGTACGATATCGTAACAAGTAATATAGTGGACATTTGAGTCCAGATTATCGTTCCCACGAGAACTATAATCTAGTCTTAATCTACTTTTTCTAACTCATATTCGATAAAAATGAATAAAGAAAGAATTGATACAGTTGTGACTAATGATTTTCTTTAATGAAGTAAATACCTAAAGCTAATGGAAGTTATGATAAAATGTCAAACAATGATTGATCAAAGATTTATGTATGTAAGAAATATTAGGGCAAAACAATTCCATCTAATGATCACCTTAATTCCTAATTCAAGATTCTAGCCTGATGTAGTGTTCGGTCGAATTCTCCTATGGTATTCAATTTGCCCCTCTCAAGTTATCATTGAGTTTATTCAACTGATTCAATTTCATATCTCAATGCGAATTATCCTTAGTTAAACGAATTTTAGTTCTAGGAATTCCTATAACGACCGTAATACTTTGTATAGGTATCTCTACACATTATATTTCGTTACCGGATTTTATTATACGTTCTAAGCCTCAAACTCACCTCTCGATTCGTAAGAAACTCAACTGATCATCAAATTATTGGCCAGATAATTTAAAGCATTAAAATCATAATAAAATCAACACATGAGAGAATAAATTATAGAAATCTTGAATTGAAGAACTAAGGGTCTCAAGAGATTACATTGTTTGCCATAATGTGGAATTTAGCTAAACATGATGAAAATGGTACAATAATTAAATATATTCGAATACATCGCAGGATTTAAATGACTAAAAATATGGAATAGAATCAGCTCTTGCACCAAGATCTTCTTCCGCTTCCAATCTTTGAATTGAACTCGAATCCGTGATGAATATCTTCTCGTGAATTGCCTCTTCAATCTTGTATTTTTCTCTCAATTTTGCAATGTGTCAAACCCTCCAATTCGTGCCTCTTCATATCTATTTATACTTCTCTCCACTTTTTCTGGGCTTCTCACGACCCACATCAAAACCTAGATTTTTTAACGGTGCAGCGCAGGCGCTAGGCGACTTTTACCAGGCAGTGCCTGGGCGCTGCTTAGGAAGCACCTGGGCGCCGCCTTGCGATTCTTCTGGAGAATGGGCAGCGCCTTACGGGACTTTTCTACTGTTGTGGGAGGGCGCTGCCTTGCTGTTGAATTTTTTTCCTTTTCGTTTTGTGGCGCTTGGGCTCTCC